ATTTCTTCTAACACAAAATCGCCATTACGGAAGTGCGTGGGCGGTGCTGAGTAAATAAAACACCCCTTTCTGAATGGAATTCGGAACTGCTGCGTTTGGGCTGCAGCACAATCCAGATGATCATGACTGTTACAACAGATTGAGAGCATCTAATCTTGATGAGCGCCATGCCACTACACCTAAGCGCCCTAAAGCATCAAGAAAGAGGACATGGAGCCAAGAGTCAGAAGCCTCTGCTCCAGTGAACTCAGATCTGTAATACTTCGTTTTTAAGATCAACAGCAGTTAACAGCCCCGTCTCAAAAGTACATGTACCACATATTCTTTCACTTCTATTATTATCCTTACTCTTGATGTTGTGGGTCCCAAGGGACCAGACTAAAGGAGGATGATCATTGATCAAGAGCTTTTCATGTGTCAATAACAAACATGGTTTGTGTGCTTGGAAACTACAAATCTCTTCAGAGTGGTACAAAGTGACTGGTACAACAAGGTGAGGTCAAATTCTGCTTCCAAGGTCTCTGGTCCAGGCTCTTGCTGCTCAGTTCAGCAGCCATTTTTATACAGTTAACTTAAGTACACACCCAACTATGGCTTCAGTGCAGTTATCACTTATTGTGCTAAATAAGGTATGCGGGAATGTACAAATAATAACCATGAAACTTCTACGCGCACATATCACTAGCAGCATAGGGCAGTTAGACACTCTCCCCTCCTCCTTATCCACTCTTGGTAATGTTTATATCAGTTACTAGTTGATTCCATTATTATTATATCATATGTGAGTAATAATAGCTTCTGCTAGAGGAGGTAACCATGACAACTTAACAGTTTCATTCTCTCTTAACTCATGGGATAATGAAGAAGGAGGACCTGAAACAGGAAAAAAGTCATAAATTATTGAGAAATATATAATAATATACCAAAGGCAATCAGTTGAATTGATTCTGCTCCCACCAACTTTGTATCTAAAGAACAATGTCTTGTTGCGGAAAATGAACACAATCCACATTGAATATGAATATCTAACAATGTGTTAGTGGCAATCCTCAGGTCAGCTATGCTATTATCAATAATAGATAAACCAATTCCATTTGGAAGAGGACTTGTAAAAGCAGTAATAATATCACCACTGATATTCCAATAAAACTGAACTATGAAAGACGCATTAGATTTGTAAATGCAAGAATATTCAAATGTTTTTCCAGTTCCAATGGGTAGAATAAAAGTATCATTAGGACATACTCCAGTTAGTGATACATTGCCTTTAGATACCGTTGAACAAGAATCCACCCAATAAAAGGCGAAACTGAGAGAGAGCAACAAAACTCTGAGCAGGAGCATCTTCCACATTATTTCTCACAGACGACGGTGACAGACTGACAGTATTGTCCCAAGGGACCCACGCAGCCCAATGTTGGTAGACCAGTGAGACCACCTAACATTTTTGTTAGGGGGTTAATTTTGTAATTTCATTAGTTTGCAACAAAAATTAATAATAATTTGTATGCTTGACACCTTATTTTGATCAATCCACAAAATTTTAAAGGCACAGCACTATACAGTATGGTATGATAAGAGAATGCATAAGAGAAAGAGAAGAATGAGGAAAAATAGATGACAGTCGAGTCAAGTCTCTCAAGCTCAAGCTCATCATAATAATGACATCATTAATTACAATGGGTGGAGCTATAACCTATAATTCATAAAAAGTAGAGGAAGTTTATTTATATAATTAATAGTGTAAAGCATAAATATAGCACAAAGGAATAACTCGATTCGGTTCAGTACAAGCTCAAAAACACAGTCAATTTATGCATTATTATCATCATCATGTTTTGCTGATCACTGCAAAAAAACATTTGGATAAAATTACAAAAAAAATAATGTTTACTAATTTGTACATTGGCAGTACATTGTATACTAATAAATTCAATAGTTATTATTCACTTTGTTTTTTCTTATGTCGCCCATATCAGCATACTGATTTTTGCCTATTAAAATAACATAATAATTATAAATAAAGCTAAAAAATAAAGCTAATAAGCTCTTCATTACCTCTTCTTCAACAGGGATAGGAGGTAATGGAACCTAAAAGAGAAATTAAGAGACAGAATGAAGAGAGGGATGAAAGAAAAGCATCATTATTCTTACGATTGGGCTACAAATTTCTCATTTTCTTTTACTAATAGTACTCTATAGTGGATGCATTTAATCAAAGTTTAAATAATAATACGAAATACTTTTCTAGTGTTGGCAGGTATTTCAGTGTATCCAGGCATTACCACTAGACCAGAGTCCATTACTGGCTCAAAGTCAAACCTTTGAGGAGTAATAAAACAAAGAAACCTTATGGGGGTTGCCTAGAGAAAAGAGAGTGACAAGTAATATGGGACAGTATGAACTGACTTATTTTTATAGTAAAATCTTCACAAAATTTCCATGCATCCTCCAATTGCAAATAATTTAGTATTAATCATTCATTAGTGTTTGTGTGAAAATTACAAAAATAATGGTATTGTGGTTTCCCATAAAGCATGCCAAGTGAGCTGAACAGCATGCTTCATGAGCTGCCATGTCTTTTGAAGTTTAAAATTCATTTAAAAAATCGTTTTAATTGAAATGAGCTCAAACTAGATATACAACACCAGAACATGTATATGTATCAATAATATGCTCATAATTGTGTTGTGTGAACTAAGTAACAATTTGAAACAATTAACAGTGTGTGATAGAATTTCTATTTAGGAATTTTGGTAATGAGATGATTATTTCCATAATAATAAGTGAATAATTTATTTTGCTAATATAATTAGCAAAAATGGCATGCAAGGAAAGGTATAGGAATGTAACTTTAATTTGATACTATCATTGCAGTCTAACAATAGTTACTTCTCTTAGTTACACAAACTCCTAAAATCATCACCACTGCCTTGGTTTTCAATGAGGTCACTAGTTGTGTGTTCAGTGTTGCTCTCAATACTGACACTAACTACAACTATACCACTAAAGAATAACACCAACACAGGACTGTCCTGCAACAACAAACAAACCTATGTTGAGGTGCTGTGTGGTAGAGATGGTTGTGATGGAGTACCAGGAAGAGATGGAGTGAAAGGAGAGAGAGGAGATAAGGGAGAGAAAGGAGAGAAAGGTGAAACTGGACCTGTAGGACAAGCTGGTCCTAAAAGTGGAGGAGTAGTGTACACTCA